AAATGAAAAAAATGGGGAAGAAAGGTTGGAGGGAAAAATACTGACTACAAGATCAGGCAAGGACCTGAGAGGTATGTCCATTACCATTTCCAGAAAGCAGGAAAGCTTTATTGTTTTCAGAGTTATCCTACCTTTATCTTCAATAAAAACAAAACCTGGAGTGGGCAAGGTAATCAATTTCCTAGTGACCAGTACAGAAATTATTTCTGTTGTTTATCTTAGAAATTTGGAGAGCCCTTTCCAACATACATTTTTCCTTTGACCCTTCCTCTCCCTTTAAAGTTGTGGAGTACCTGTTCAGTTGGTGTGAATTAGCACAGATGCTTCTGACGCAAAGCAGCTATGCCAGCTATACCAGCTTATGCCAGTTGATGATCTGGCCTCTATATTCTTGCTTGTTTAGGGTTTTTTGTTGTTGTTGTTGTTTGTTTTATTATAGAGAAGCCTGACTTCTCCAGTTCAGCTGTATTTCCAGTGACAGAGCTAGTGCTGAAAGGCAGTTTCAGTTTTGAGGGGGAGAAATACATTCTGATCTTGTTCACTATTGCCTGCCTCTGACTGGAGTTCTGCCAATCTCAGGGGTGTGTGAGAGTCCCCAGAATGATGGTAATTAGTAGGATGAGGGTCATAGTAGAGAAATTCAGATTAAGATCTGCTGATTTTTCACTAGAAATGGTCTGATTCTGATCAGGCTGTTCAGTTTTATGCCAATATGATTCTGTTGATATCTTCTTCCATGATGTCTCTTTCTGCTTTTCTAGCTCAGTTTCCATGAACTAGACTATGTTTCTGATGTTTCAGAAAAATGTGGTATCTCAGTCATATGTATGCCTAGCTTTAAGTGACAGATTTATCAGAGGATTATTAGAAAGCCTGTGCACAGTCTTGAAAGTTAAGATTGCACCGCTCATGAATATTACTGATGAACCTCTTCCTCATTAAAGGTTTGATTAACATCCTGCCTGAAAAATAAAGGGAAGGAATGACAGTGTCCCAGGAGCATCACGAGTTGCAATTTGCGGGAACATCAGCCGTTGCAGTTTACTTCCCCACTGAGTGACAAGGGGTTCAGCTGAGCCGCCCTCTGGGATGAGTTACAGGAACAGGAGGAGCCCGTTTCCTGCCACTCCTCACCCCATTGCTTAAAGGAAAGTGGGGCTGGTTTTTTTTTTTTTGCCTTGCCCTGTGCTCCATTTGGGGTTTGACAATGCCAGTACCCTGTACAGGAGAAAGAAAAGACTTATTTTCCCTTATTACTCAGTGTAGATGCTCTTCCAGTACTGTAATTAAGCTTTTGGTAGTACAGCCTTCTAATAACTTCTTTTTCGGCTGAAAGTTTTACTTTGGCTTCCAAGGCAGGGTGATCTGAATCTCCGTACTCTCTCCTCTTTACATCTACTCTGATCGGAAGTTTGGGACATTTGCCTGTGACACATAGCTCATGCACAAAAAACATCAGTGCTACAAAAGTGCTGTAACACTTGTAATGGACAAGAATCTGCCCTTTTGATTCTATTAATTATCTTTGGTTCAGTTTTCTGTATATACATATATGTATGTATGTATGTATACAGATGTATGACACACAGCCTTCTGTCTCCTGAGATAAACTGACACCTATGCCTCTCTCTAACATGTCACTTTGAGACTGTCAAATCATACTTATTCCATAACATCCATCTTTGTACACCTAGGATGCCTTCCTTGAGTGTAAAAAGCCCATTGTTAGTGTATTAGTATTTTTGCTAAACTAAAAATGTCATTCTTGCCTTTAAGGCCAAACAAGTGAGGCCACTGAATTCACAGCCAGAAAGTATCCTTCCCTCTACAGATAATAATATTCCTGTGTTTATCTCCTTCCAAAGAATAGCTGAGCTTCTCTGACAAGCACATCCAACCCCACTACTGCCCAAACTCTTGTCTTTTCAGTACAGTGCAATTAAAATTGTGGAAGTATACTGAACATCCAAGTAAATAAAAAATCAACTTTTATGAAATATATGCTCCTCACTGGCCTCTAGAAAGGGCAATACTTGCTTTCTGATAGCATTATGTAGTAACCGCTTGCAAGTTTGGACATTTTGTCATTAACTGTGCAATATTTGCTGCAGGAAACATGAACCAGTTGTTCTTTTCCTTCAACAGGTTTTGCTCAAACCTTCTCCTTCTTGTTTTGGAAGTTGGAATGGACAAATATGCTGGTGGCAATTCTCATATGTCTTCTATTTTTGTTCTTCCTGTTGTACTCTCATTTCTGTCTTTTTTCTGGCACTACTGGGCTGAGAGGAAGTGTTTTTGAATAGTCATTTTTGCTGGGCATTTTTAAAGCACACTTTCTAGCGCACCTAGAATTTCCTTGAAAATGGACAATATAGTGTAATTATGAACTATGAAATGTAGCTTGGATACTTTAGCCTTTTTTTTTTTTCTTTATGCATCAGTTCTGTGGTTTTATAAAATGGAACTAAAGTTCATTTTTCGAAGTGTTAAATTGTGTTTGTGTAGTGCTAAAATCATTTCATTAGGCTTTTCAGCTATTTCAGAAGAAGGTATGGAATGAGCCAACAGTGGAAAAAGATGTTTGGCATTTGGAAGTTACAAAAACTTACAGTTGCCTATATTTGAGCTGCAACAGCTAAAAATTGATTCTGAAATGCTGCCAATATGAAAAGTTCATCCAAGTCTGAAAGATAAATCTATGTTATTATAGCTTTCATTTTCCCAACGAAATCCTAGACTCTGTATCATTTTTATGCTGAGGTCCCCTTACATGCATGTGTGTGTTGCAATTCCTTTTAGGAGAGAAACATAAATTAACAATTAGAAACAGGAACCTTGGAAAAGAGCTTTCCAATTAAAATATCAGAAGTTGAGTATCAGCGAGCTTAAGTATGCCAGAGTCTCATAAAGCCTCATGTATGTGAGTAGCTTGTTGCATGTATCAGTGAGAGCCTCTTGGCTTTCAGAGCCTGTATTGGCCCATCATTACCATTAAAAGTAACTGCTGCTTAGTGACTTAAGTCCCTATACTTATGTGTGTAGAGGGCTTTACATTAAGATACAGTAGTTATCACGTATTGTGTGATTAGCGCAAATACTCACCCAGCACCATGGATGACAAGGCCAATAAAGAAGATGACAAAGAGATGGTGGGTGTACCAGAATACTTCAAAATATGATCTTCGGATGGTTTTGGTGGATGATGTGATGATTAGTATAAGGGCCAGCGTGATGATAACACCAGTGAGACCAGCCAAGTACGTGAAAGCCACATATAGGCCCCCTATAGGATTCTGTGAAATAATTGCACACATTGGTCTAAGCAGAGCAAGCTGAACCATCAGTCTGTCTCACTCACCAAATCCTTTACCTTGTTGTAAATCTTTAAGTCATCCTCTGTAATTTGTATGCCAACAATGCCAAAATCCCACTCCATTTTTGTTGCACTGCAGATTTACCCTTACTAAAGTAAGTGGAAGTAGAGAGAAAGGGTTTTCCATCGATTCACACACCGAACATTGTTTCTTACTCTGCCACTGCTCAGCAGTACAGGCTTGGGGAAGGTGAACACATTTGCACAGCTCTGTTATTAAGAGCGGGAGTCCTACATCCATATTTAGGGAGCTAAATGAAAGATCTCCTTTTCAGTGACATTGTGCAGCTGTGGGTCTCATACCTCATACAGAGATTGGACGCTCAGTGCTTCTGAGGAATGGGGAAGTTTGTTTTTTTTTTTTTTTTTTTTAACCAGAGCTTAAGCAGCCCAAGTTCAAAATTTTTACATTGATTTCTGTGTACCTTTCTGTGTGCCATGTCTACCTTAGAAGACTGCTTTACAGGGTATTTGTTTTTACATAATGCTTTAAAACTACTTTGAAATCCTCAGGTGAAAGAGTTTAAAGTACTACCAAAATTCAGCAACAATATTACTGACAAATATAGAAGAATGAATTATACAAGGTTTTGCTGCGAGGTGGCCCAAACCCAGATTGTGCACACGAGAAATAGGCACTCTGCTCAAATAGTCTTATATGATCATCTAAACAAATGTAATAATGACTCTTCACAGCTTGATGTCACTTACCTCAATATTTTTTCTAAAAAAGTTGATATAACTTTCATTTGGGTTATCACCAAGGCTAGAAAGCGCAGCTGCCAGAGTTCCTTTCTTTTCAACACGGGCTTGCACACTCCACTCTACGTTGAATAAGTGTGCGATGGTGTGAATTGCTAGGAGCGAGAGGAAAGAAATAACCGAGGTTAAGCACAAGACAAGTGTTCAGTGGTTTTGGGTAACATTTGAAACTTTGCAACATTTTTCAACTGCAGCTGAAGACCTTTGCCACTCTCACCCTCTTCATCACAATTTCAGATCACTGACATGTTTTACTGTTAAAGCTTCACCATCTGAAGTTTACATCTTTTTGGGTGGGGGAAGGAATGAAGTAAAGGGAAGTTTCCAGCATGTCTTTGTTCAACAAAAGCTTTCAACAATTCAAGTAGTAGTACCCTAATACGTGGGAAACTGAAGCATGGGATGGCTTAAATTATTTGTCAGGATCACCCAAGATTTCTGTAGAAGAGCCAAGAAGTGAATCTGGATCTCTTTGGTGTCACATTTGCTAGCGCTGCTTTGTTCTGTTGTATTGATGATAATCACTAATAATGTTCTTGCTGAGCAGGACGTGTCCATAAACCTACTACAGCTGAGGTGTTCAACACTACTTCCACTACACATTATTGTGGGGGTAAGCCGTACAATGCTTCTCAAAATTTTTCCCCTTTTGTATCACCAGGTGCTTATTCACCTCCAAAACAGGGCCTGATGGGTACAGATCTAACACCCCCAAAGAAGCCATCTCTGCTGCAGACCTCCTCTGTGGCCTTATGTTAACTGCATCACCCTGCTCCTTTTCTACGAAGTGGTGGTGAAGTTTCAGCCACAGCTCAGAAAGGGAACCTGCTCAGCTCAAGTAATCTACTGATATGAAGACTGTTCTAGGATATATGATTTGTAAGGTACTTGCATTGAGAAGTGACAAATTTGATGGGGAAAAAAAAGACAGAAACCCCTTAGTTTAGGAAATGAGAGATAAAATATGAAAATATTTCCATGGCCTGTCCAAGCTTTTTATACCCTTTTCTTTCATCATTTCTATTATTTGTTTCAGACATGCCAGCTAAGAAATAAGTCTAAACAAGAATTAAAGCCAGGATATCTGCTTCTCAGGGCATTGCTAAACCCTTTATTAACCAGTGTCATAAATGGTGCCGACAGTTCAAGAGAAAAGTATTCTTTCTTATTTATCTTTTGCTCTCTGCCAGTTGCACAATACTATTTGGAAACTGATTTAAGCCTTGGCACATGCTGACTCCTTTAGGTTAATGAAGTCAGGTCTCTGCCCATATCCTTAAGAACTTGAATGCCACCTGGATTCTGTGTAAAATGCATGAGAAAGCAATAAACAAAGAAACATTTGAGTACCAACCAGTATGAAGGGCGATCATCCATGCCACCATTTTGTGAAAGGTGAGGTTCCTGTCCAGCTGTCGTCTGACACGGGTAGAGCAGCACTTTGGGTTTGAAGAAAAAAAGTATTTGAAGACTATTTGTTATATCTATGCATACTTATTTAAATGCAGGGACAAAAACAGAGGCCCTGAGCACAACAATTGGTGGCATTGCTAGTAAAAATCTAGAATTCCTAAATATAGACAAAAATATTTCCCCCCATACTTCATAATACAGGAATAACAGATTATGTTTTAATATGTCCCATTGAAACAAAGTATTTGACAATGAGAAAAAACTTCACATCCAGTATGACAAAAGTATATGTCTTGTCTGTGTTAAATTACATGTTATAAACAGAAGGAGGGATCACAGTCTGCCATAGCAGGATGACCGCTTTGGTAGAGTCTCAAGTTGCCACCTAGCATCAGGATCCTGTTGTGGTTCACACTGTAGAAATGGTCTGTAAAGTCTGGGTATAACTGTCTCAGGGAGCTCCCACCCCAAATGTGCTACTCACTTATGCTTGGTAATATGAAGTGATTCCTTCCCCAAAATACTTGGTGTACTTGCTGGGCATTCACTTAAAACTTGTTGCTGGAGTTATCCAAAGAGAAACAAAAAGAAAAAAAATCTCTACTGATACAAACTGAAGAAGTTGGTTCTTAAGAAAAACAGAATGATATCCTCATTAAGAATGATGACAGGTTCCTAAGAGGCCCCATCTAAACTGTGCTGCAGTCAGTGGGAGTTTTCCTATAACTTTAAGTTCCTGTAAAGCTAGCATTTGCTGTCTCCACACAGTAGAAAGCATGATTATCCTGTATTGTATCTTTATATTGCTTTTGCTGTCTGGCAAAGGGAAGAAAACACTATGCAAACTAACACAAATGCTTCCTCACAAGAACCGTGTAGATGTTTCACACAACAAATTAAGAGAGACCAAAATATTCTCCCAAGTGTTTACTGGACATTAACTTTCTGGATGGCAGCGTAAGGTAACGTATCTTCCCAGTTAATGGGGTGGAGCTGATCATCCCAACAGTCCAGGAGTGAAACAGAAGAAGGGATGATGAAACACCAGAACAATTTCATTTCTCATTTGTTCTTTACTTAGTGGAGATATACCAGCAGTGGCCTTGCTCTTCCATACCAGTCCATTTCTAAATATCCCATGAGTATTAACAGTACAGATAAATAGATGAGCAGGAAAAAGTTCTTTTCTTTGGTTATTCTCCAGCTGTGGCATTGATTAAAGGGCAAACTCTAACACTCTGGGGCTATTGCAATGACTTCAGTAGACTATAAGAACAGCCAGGAGAAATTTGCCCTTCTCTGTATCATGTATCTTGAGACACAGTTAAAAAGATTGTAGAATGAACTGTAGCATAGTGAGCAAGTGCCAACTCTGCTTGACTGCCTTGCAAAAACAACTTGATCTTTCTGTTTAAGCAGCAGAAGGCCAAGTGATGGCAAAATGCTGTAGCTACGTTCAGTAGTGAAGCTCATTAACAACAGTGATGAATACAGCAATAAAGGGCATGCAAAGGCAACACAGCTGTTCTTTCAAATAATTACAAATAACTTTGTAGCATATGATTTCTGGGTGGCAGGATGTAAAGGGCAAGAGTTTCCAGCACGTTCCTATCGAATAGTGGGTTTGAACAATACTCCTCTTTCCTTAACCCCAATGACATTGCTGTTGGAAAGGTCACTACCCTTTCAATAAGTTACTTGACATTTAAAAATCCCGATTTTTCTTAAGAGATCCTCACGGGTGTTACTTGCAGAGCATAGCTAAGTAGAGACAACAGCAGAACAAGCATAAGCAGGTGTACCGCTGTGCTAAGGCCACCACAGTCCTGACACTACCACTGGCACGCTGGGCTGTGCATGTTTTGCTTAAGATATAAAATTACCTCCTTCCTGAGGTATAGCTTTATTGCAAAAAGCAACTGAAGTTAAACACCAACTGTCTAACAGTCCTATTTTATGCCCCTCCCTCCCCTCCTTGCTCATCCTCAGAGCCCTTCGCTTCCTCATACAGCCTAGCTCTATCAGCAAGATAGCGAGCTGCAGGTAGGCAGCAGAAATGGAGCTGTAGCTCTCTGCATGGTTCTTACTTGCAAGCTGGGTGTAGCCTGAGTGACTCTACCACAGATTTTAGGCTTCCAGTAACGTCTCCAAAAGTGTCTTCAGCTTTTGCATTGCTTTGACCTCAGAAGACCTCTGCCCAACCTGCTTTCAGCTTGACCCCCATGGAATCTGTTTCAGACCTCATGAAGGCCTTGTATGACCAAGGGCTCATCAGTGTTTTCGAGTTGTGTTCATCCAATAGCAACATTAATTCTTACTGAATTTATATTCATTATGGATTTCTGCAGCCTGGGGAGTCAGCTCTGAATTTTGGCAGGTACTAGCTGATCTTTCGCAAGGGGAAGAACAACTTTAACCCTGCAGTTTTACTTACTATTCTTTTTCCTTTTACATAGCTGGGGGGTACGGCTGTCTGCTTTTCTAGAATCACAAAATCTGAAGGGGTACAGCACAGGACTGAAAGCCTGGTCTGTGTAATTCCAACTTTATATTTCTAAGGGTTATGCCTTAAGCAGGCAATTTAGGAGCCTAATGAGGCAGACACATCTCGTTTGTGTGTGACAATCAGCCACACTGATTGTCAGGATATTTGTACTAGATGGATGTACAGTCTGGGTTGTCTCCGATTATTTTCTTATTACTTTTATCCCACTCTCTTCCCCCTTGAAGGACTCTCGAAACACTGCATCTATTTTATTGCTTCCTCTTTTTCTCTGCTCTTTCAGCTCCCGCAGACTCTCTCATTTGCATGAAAGAATTTGTACTAGGTTTACAGATGAAAACCAACTTCTGTGAACTGGTGTTGTTGACCATGTGTATATTAAAGAGGCTAGAAAGAAAGGAGGAATCATTATATATTTGGAAGGACGCAGTTCATGAGCTTGAGGAGAATATCGCTTTTTCACTGCACCATGGCATGCATTGTTGGCATTATTTCTGCTGTAACAGCCAGAGATCTAGATTTCAACAATGTGATACAGTCAGTGCTATCATAGGAAACCTCTCCAGCTGTCACCTAGAATCAGTTGTCCTTTTCTAAGTGGTGGTTCCTTGGTGCTGTATATGACAATTGCATTTGGGAGCTAGAAATGGTCAAAAGGCCTGTGAACTATTTCATACTGAGATGGAAATGCAACTCGGACAAGAAAGAATGTAATTTATGAACCAGCTGAAAAAAGTTCCATTCTGAAAGTCTGTGAAAGACTACATTTACTTTAAGAACTGAACACGGAAAGACAGAAGACATGGGGTAATACCTCCTGCTATAAATGGGTGTTGTTATCAGTGGCAAACAAGGCAAATGTGTGTCAGCACCACGTACAGCTGCTGCCAGCCAAAAGAGGGACTTTGCATCCAGGGCAGCACGATGCCCAGGAGGCAAGAAAAAAGGAAGGACTCAAAGGAGGCTAATTCAAGGCTAAACCTCTCAACAGAGCTCTAGATACACCATTGGCATATAGAACTCAGTCTTGCTCATAGCAAAACTCCAGGCTTATCTGCTTCTTAAAAGAGGACATCCCCAAAGTATGGTATATTTGGGGAACTTGGACGAAGTTGTTTGGTATATTTGCAAGGCTGCTTGGGTTATTATCTTTCATAAATTTTGAAATTCTTTCTTCATCTTACCGCACTTGATCCTCTGAGGAAGGAGAGCAAGTTTCGACATACTGGCAACAGAATCAGCATGCAGTTGAAATTCAGACAAGCTGCAGGGGCCCTTGCCAGAGCCAAAGCACGCTGTAATTGGAGAGATGCCATTATTAAATGAATTACCTATGACATTATCCAGGACATGGATAGGCACAGATTTCATTTATGTATTATATCATAACTTTTCTTGAGTGTGAGACCTACAGTTAATTAACAATGTTCACATTTTAGAATAGTCATGCCCTGGCCAAGTGAGAGGCATGCATGCAGACAGAACACATTCCTCCAGATAGACACCTTCTATTTCCAGTTTTGAAATCACATGGTTGTACAAAAAGGTCCCTGTCATGTCTGACAGTCAATGGCCAAGCACAGATGCAAGTCTAGGCCATTAGTAGAGTTTTCTGTCCCAAAGCTATAAAGAAAGTCTCACTGCTGTGGTTTCAGTTGGCTGGGGGGTTATGACAGACGGAGGGACAGCTTATGAGGGAAGTGGTTTTATGTTCTCTGTTGTCAGTAAAGGCAGTCTAGGGAAATTTGTTGCCTCATCTTTTAGGAATATATTCCCTTAACGTTGCTCTTCACATCCTGAATGATTTCAGATTTTGACAAAGACTGTTTGAAAGGAGGCAATAATGACCATATTAATCCAAACACACTGAAGGGAAGGAAAAGATAATGTTTGCTCTCCTTGCATTGATTAGGACCCTTTCAGGTTTCAAATCACAGTAACTGACTTGGGGTTACACCGAGATGTAGTTATCCAAGCACAGGTCTCTGTGACTTCAAAGGCAACTGCACCATGATTTTAATCCATAGATCTGAAGCTGTATGTGGAACAGGATTTCATGCTTTCTTGAATTAAACCATGGCTTTGCAAACGTTTTACGAAGTGCCATGTTCTGTAATTTGAAGCTTAGACTGATTTTTATGCCTGTGATCAGGCTTTTGAAATATGTGAACAAATGAATTTTCCCTGTCAATTGGTCATGACCCATGGTAGCTTTGGAAGCAAGTTTGTGGTAGGACACATAATGCTGCCTGAACCTGCTGGGTTACATTGAATAGCCCAGGGTCCAGGATCACTTCACTACTTGACTATTATTCACACACTTGATGAATATATGAACAACGATTGCATGGGGAAACGATTGCAGAATAGTTCAATGGCAATATTTTATTCATCTTTTGCTTAACAAAGCAGCCACAATGCATGTTCACTTTAATTACCAGGAGCATAACAGTTACCTGAAAACATCTTTAGAATAGGATCTCTCTATTTTGCTTACCAGCTTTCTATTCAGAAGCACTGGACATCTGTCTGCATTCAGTTATCTCTTTGCACATGACTTTTAACCCTAACATGAACCTGCTGCTCCAGCCACTTGATCCTGTTTCAGTCAAATAAAACTAGGGAAGAAATGCTATGTGCTCAGTCTATGCCAAGATAGACATGTTTTGTACTTACGCCAAGAAGTACTCTGGTGTAGAAGAATTTTGGTGGGACATCATATGCGAGATAGTACCACCAAAAGAGGAAGACATTTAACCCCAGCCACACAAGCTGAAAGACAAAAAAGAAGAAACTTTACAGTTTGTTGTTAGAAATCATACATCTGAATTTATACAGTTCAGATAATGGTTAATTAGTTCATTGTGCTCCTGACAGGAATTTTTCTGGTGGAAATGGGCTCTGATGTGTGCACACAGGAGTACAGGAGTGGCAGTAAACTAAAATACAGCAATGGGTAGCTGAAACTTTTGCATAGCTCAAAGGGTTTAGACATGTAGACGTGGCACTTAGCGACATGGTTTAGTGGTGGACTTGGCAGTGTTAGGTTTATGGTTGGACTCGATCTCAAAGGCCTTTTCAAACCTAAATGATTCTATGATTATATAAGAACTGTCATATTATAGGTGTTTAGCTAAGTCTGTGAGTCTAGTTGAATCTCCAAACATCATTAAAGGTTAGGGCCTCTTCTAAATGGCGGTTCCTCAGACATATTAACCTATGTAAGAGGAAGACTTAGGAGCCGTGCCAAAGGACAAAGAAGCTTGAGATCTAAATATAGATGGCTTAAATTACACGTAAGGCCAAATGTTTTCTATTGAGCAGGAGGCTCTGAAGGTCTGAAATCAGCCAGCAGGAAATACTCAACACAGGCACATTGGTAGTGGTTAGACTACCCAAAACTGGGCTTCTTCGTAGCTGTACTGCAGCATTCTCTCACACTTGCATATCGTACTGTGCAGGTTAGAGAAGTTATTAGCCCTTCTCAAAGCTATCTAAGGCAGCTACAAGCCTGTCTGGCCACAGAGATCATAGTGAATGTGGCCATTTGCCCTTCTGGAGCTGGTTGGATGATTTCATATATGATAGTGAAATCAATCTGTATCAGTGCACCCTTAGTCTAAGTAGATTTACTACGTGGTGCATGAAAACAGGGGAGAGAAAATTTGAGAACTGGGAGAAAACCCAATCTCTGATTATAAGTTAAGGATGCCAGAAACTGTGACATTACAGTCCCTCACCCCTCCTAACCCATATGCTTTGCTAGTTCTTTGGCCCAGCTGACACTGTAAAAAACTTGGGATTAGTTTAGATCTTGAAAATGTCTTACCCTTGTGGCATAAGTACAGGGAAATGAAGGGATTTCCACCAGGGTAAGGCAGTATGTGGGAAATCCCCAAAACCTCATTAAAAAGCTAAGCTCATCTCAGGATTAAATGCTTAGGATATGTATTTAAAGTGAGAGTGTGCCACTTCCATGTACAGTAGCCTGACAGCATGCCCAGAAGACCAAGAAGTTTGGCATGATTCTTGATGGTCTCTCACAGTTCTTCTTGATGTTGACCCATATGGAACATGGACCCTTTGAAAAACACTGTGACACCCTCTGGCAACTTGGGTTGAGTTGCAGAGTTAGCAGCCATCCATGCTCTTTACCTAGGGCCAGTGAAGGCAGCATTGGCTGGGGTTAAGGCTGCCATGTTTCTGTTTTGTTGGGGTAAATCAATAGGAATTGTGGGTGTCCTGTTTCTGTCAAGCACTGGATAACCCTGTACCTAGTCAGTGTGCAGTAAAGCTGTAGAGGACAACGCAGAACACTTTGGTAAGGCTTCCAGTGAACTGTCCTTTTCGCTGGTTTCTTTGTCAGTGACTTCTTTGGTTTCCTGCCCTATTAGCTGACCTTGTTATAGCTTTGAGACTCTAAAAACAAATTCCTTATTTGAACAAAATAAGGGCCTCTTACTTATTTCTTTCAATATTTCAGTACTAGTGGGAAAAAAATATGCCAGAATTCACCTCCTGTGAGTTTCAACTTCCTCAATTCACTGAAGGTGAGAGCAAACACAGTTACTCCTTTTCAAAGCACTAAAGTGCCAGGATTATGTTCCTAAACTAGAGCTACACATCTACAATGTAAAGGTAATATGTAAGTATTGATTGTTCATAGCAGCAGAAATACCTTTCTGAATAAAGATGTTCACATTTCAGTCAGCACAAATATAAAAGTTCTCTCTCTTCTTTTTCTTCCTGTCAGTACTTACATATACTAACCATGCTTGACAACAATCCCTTAACTGGTATTACATTTCAGTGTTGTATATGTTTTTATTTATATATCTACATAAAATTGTAGAGCTATAGCTCTTGTATCACACTGTGAAGTGGAAAAATAGAAAACACTGAAATACTAACTTCTGCCTAAGTTTTCTCCAAGGAGGACTGTCCTGCCTTACTCTTTAGCACTTTTAAATGTGACTGGGATTTTCAGTACTTTTAAATCTTGCTCAGAATGAATTTAACCTACTTTCACAGCTATTCTGTGCAAGTTGTCTACAAACTCAGTTCAAATACTAGTTTTCTTAATGAAGCATTCATGAATCTCTGCTCTAAATTCTGAAATCTGACTCTAATACAAATACTATACTTCCAAGACACTGTGCTTTCAGTTACACCCCTTTTTGCTTATAAAAATGCAAGATAGGCTTGTTGTTGTAATTGCTTTCTCTGTTGAAGCGCTCATGGTTAAGCGAGATGTAATATATTATTTGTTTTCTTTAAGTCACTGATGCATCCAAAACCCCCAGATACTTAAATATTTCTAACAAAGCAAATGAAAGTCAACATACGATCATTTCTCAGTTGACAATGAAGCCTACAGCAATCGAGATGATACCAGACAGAGCTCCTTAAAACTTATTCTCTTGAAGCATTTCACCGCACTTGGTGCCCTAGTTTCTGAATAACCAGATGCATCCTGGCACAGTGAGATCTGCTTAGTACAACTTTCTGTAGAACTTTTTACTACACACAAATCACAATAAAAATTGTACTTACAACGACGAAGATGGACAGTCCTTCATTCTCCACCCAGTTACCCATGATTGCCTGAGACGAGCGTGCACAACAGCCCCCGTGTTTCTGGGACAGCGTCTGTCTTCTCTCATAAGGAAGTGAGAGTAGAAGCTTGCAGCAACCTGTTTCCTTTCTCATTCATTTAGGAAAAAAGTTAACCATTGAATCATGTCCATAGTTCTGTTTCAAACATGTGTCTACCATCTTTACATATAACTTTTCATAATCCAAATATATATAAACTGTTGAAATAGACTATTTTTTTCCTTATGATACAGAGGATAAAATAAGTGACACAACTGGTCAGGTTTTCTGCTAGAAGATGTATTGCCACTTTATATAATTTCAAATGCTGAAATGCAATACAGAATACACAGAAGAGTTATCTCTTCCCAGCCTTTTCTTTTTTAATCACCTCAGGTCTGAGTTGCTGTTCC